AAGGAGGCCTCCGGAATGTCTTGGACAGCGGCAGCGACGTCCGGAACGGCTTGGACAGCGGTCTTCTTCCTCGGGAACGTCTTGGACAGCAGCTTGGTGCCTTCAAAGGAGCTTGGACAGCATTTGGAGCTTGGATTGGAGCGCTTGGACTAATGTTTTAAAATGTGAAATCGGGAATCGAGACGTTTTGGCTAAGCGAGGCGAGGCATAAGCCTTGAGGCGGATCGAGGCGTAAGCCTCAAAAATGATAAAAAAAAAAGTAATTTAAAATTATGAATAATGATAAAAAATAACAAAATATTATGTCAATTGTGAATTTGATGATTTGTTCTAAGATAATATTAGTATATTACCGGAACATAAGATTTAAAATAAACTCACTTAAAAATAAAACATTCTTTTAAGGCAAGACCCAATGCAGGCTTATCATCACTTTGATTGTCTTCAGAAGAATCTTCATAATTAATGTCAAAGTCAACCTCAAACTCTTCTTCATCTATAATATTTTTTCCTTTATCCCCTATAACTTTGTTTCTTTTTTTATATACATGAGTAGTTAATTCATTGTCTTCATTAACATGAGTTTCTGGTTTTGTTTCAACTTCAGAAACATCAACATTCTTAGAAGTAACTCATTCATCATCAAATTGTAAATTATCAACAAGTAAAAAGTCAATTTCATTATCAATGCTTCCTTGTTTCTGTAATTTGAGAAGTCTATCTTTCAGTTTTTTGTTAAACATAACATAAACTAGTTTATTCATTTGATCTGTCGTCAATCAATTTCTTCTCTTAGTATGAATTTGATTGAAGATGCTCCAATTAAGCTCGCATGCAGAAGCCGAACATATTAGGCTAAGAACTTTAACTGCAAAAGCTTTCAATTCAGGAACATCATCTCCAAATTGACTCCACCAACATTTTACATGAAAATGAATAGCATTTTATGAATATTGATTGAAGTAGAAAACTAAAACATAAATATTAAAATTAAAATTATAAATATACAAATTATAAATATACTAGGATATCATGTTTAGTAGCATGCTTGTGCTGCTCTAAATCCAAATATTTCCTTCTTCGAATGAAATTCCTCAAGTTAATCATTCACTTTGAGGTAGTCTTCTTAAGAAATTAGTCTGTCCATACATGCATACAAATCAGTTTTCACCTCTTTATCATAATGAAATTGAGGGTTTAAATAATATGCAGCAGCATGTAAGTGTTGCTGTAATTGACGATCCTACTTTTCATCTATAATATCTCATATTTCTTTGTAGGCACTTTCTTGATCTATCAAATCTTTTGCAATGACTTTTTTAGCTCTATTCATTGCTTTATAAATAAATCCCATGGTCGGGACCCTCTCAATATCAACCATTCTAAGCACCTTAACTAATGGTGCTGTTGTCTTCAAAGTATAATTTGTACTGCGTCAAAATGAATCATCTTTCATAACAATTTTTTTTACCTGTTTTCCTTCTTATTTTTTTGCCCATGAACTTTTATCACATTCTTTAGAAACAAACATAGCTTCCAAAGGTTGCCTTAACTCTTGAATCTCTGCAATGTTAAATATGCAGTAGCAAATCTCGTAACAGCAGGTCTAATAATTTCCTTGTCAGTGAGTTTTCTCATTAAATTGAGTACCCAAGAATGATTGTATATGAACTTACTAACGAATTTGACCTTCAATAGGGCTGATTAATGCTGAGGCAACTGTCCCAACCTCTCAAGCATTAAATAAATACAATGTGCAGCACAAGTAGTCCAGTAAAGGTGAGGTCTCTTCTCCATTAACATTCTTCATGCAGCTTTATATGCAGTTGCATTATCAGTAACTTGTACTACTAAAGCATCACCCACTTCTTGACACCACCAGTTATGTGTTTCTCATAGAAATTACATTTCATATAAACATATCCCTTCTTTGCACTTTCGCCTGACACTTCAACTTGAGTTTCATATTTTCATGCATGATCTTTCCTTCTTGTGCCAATAGTCATGCTAATAATTTATAGAAATAATTAATCAACATCAAATTATTGATATATACAATATTTTTATTTATTCACAGGCAAAGAAATCACAACACAAAATCAACAATATGATAGATTTTAACAATTATTTGTACTACCAATAATAAGACAACATGAATACAATAATATACCGGTCTGCCGGGGGTCTAAGGGGGCGCTGACCCCTAACAGGGTTCGACCTGCGGGGGTTTCTGGGCATAGCACCCCCGGAACAAAATTTTATTGTAAGAGAAATTTTGAAATTCTTCTTATTTTTAAAGTTTGTAAGTTGTTTGTATGGAAAGATATTAAGCGGTACCGAGTGGTACTGGCTCGGTACCGACCATGTACCTAGTGGCACCGCTCAGTTCCGAGCATATACTTGCTCGGCACTTAGCGGTACCGAGCATGTACTGAGCGGTATCGAGCATATACCTGCTCGGTACCGAGCATTTACCTAGCGATACCTAGCAGTACTGAGCATGTACTGAGCGGACGAATGAAAGAAAGCTGAATCAGGAGATATTCAAGCTTTTGTTACTACACATCAAAGTCAAGGCCCACAACATCGCTCACCTGCTCTTCCGACCTAACCGAGACCTAAACGTTTCTTGCACTCACAACTTCGGCTTCGTTTCCTGCTTTCGGCTTTATTTCCTGCATTGTTTCCTTCCGACTTCGTCTCCTGCACTCACGGCTTCGTCTCCTTCCCTCACGGCTACGCCTTCAGTTCGCCTTTCAATTCTCACAGGAAGCCCTAATCCTATACATGAACACGAATCGGCTGTGTCGTATTTACATATATACCGATGAAAAAATTTTGAGATGGTGCCTCGTACTGCCTCGCGTCGTTACGCTCTGATGCATACACCTCGTGCAAAAAAATCGTAGGCTTCGCTGGATGGTTTGAGGCGTAAGCTCCGATACGCATGACTTCCGCCTCGACTTGAGGTGCGACTCAATGCGGAAGCCTCGTCCGCTTTTTTAATGGTTGGCTTGGACAGCCCGATTGAGGTAAAACCTTGAAAACATAGAAAAAGCCCTAAGCCACCCCCCCCCCCCCCCCTCCCTCAACAAGCCGACACGCATAGGGTTGTCAGATTGGTGTTCGGCAACCTTCCAATGCATGTCAAGCACTCATGTTGTGTCCAATCCGTCACCTACAATCATGCTCTAGGGTAGACGCTATCATTTGATCTCAAAGTCAATAATGATGCATAGGTTTGGATTGTCATTAGTTGCATGCACTTCTCATTTAAATGCATTGTCATGACAAAATTGACACCCAAAATTAGGAGAGTTTGCATTATTGACCAGTGGAGCTACTCCAACCTTTTCATGTATATACTCTCTTTACATTCTATCTCTAAGTGTAAAGCCACTCATCCACCTAAACAAACTTGAGTTAACTGTGGAAAGAAAATATTAAAATTCAATCTATTTTTAACAAGTTATTTATACATCAAGAAAACAATAATACTACTGAAAATATGAACACATTTTCTATCAACTAAATTTCCATTTCTTGCTAGAAGCATCATAACATGCTCCAAGATGTCCCCAGCACCACACACACACTCTCTCTCTCCCCCGCCTCATCTCTCTTTATAGATGAAGGTAAATCACGCTCTCCAAGAATATTAGGGAAATTATTGTTTCAAATGATTGTTGAGAGAAGAATATTGAACTATTTCGCTGCACAAGGGAAATAAGCAGATGTTAGTTGGCACAACAGATGTGTTTATATCTTTGATGTATTAATTTTCTTTACAAAAATCTTGACGTTAAATGATATGGTAAAGTTGTTCAGAACAGAAATAATTCAACATATTGATTGTTGTATTGAAACTTCTAAGGTTTGCATATAGAATATGAAGTACATTTACTTTCTCATACATTCAAAAAACATCCAAGCAAAACGCAGTACACTATCTATCTAATACCAAAGATTCAAAAGAAGCACGCAAACTTGTCACGAATAGATAATACTTACAAGAGAAAAAGAGTGGAAGCAATTAAGCATTTCATAATCTCCTTGTTAAGTTGAGTTCATTATTTTAATGCTATGGGGCTGAAGCATATGAATGCTAGATTATTGCTAATATATTTCCATCTATTGTAGGTATTCTTTTCATCAGTTTAACTAACATTCTTAAAAGTGTGATTCAAGATGCAGATGTTACAAAAGAGATGCTAGTGAGCAATCCATGTGAATCTCATGACCGGCAAACACAATTTGTACCACACGTGATTCACTTATGTGTGTTGGCGACAGTGACATGTGGTTACTAAACAAGGATGATGAGAAGGTCTTGAAATTAGAAATTTTGAAAAATCCAAAGAGAAAAAAAATTATTGAATCTTGCACTAATATCGATTGATGGAGGCGGGCATAGAGGAAAGAAGAGAAACTCCATGTAAACAACTTTGGAGCAATCCGCACACATACCTTTGATCATGAGATAACACTCAAATAGGCCTAAAAATAATTTAATTTATTTGATAATTAATAGTAAAAATATATTATTAACATAAGCCATGAATCACTACTAAAATAAATATGGTTACAAATTTAAGGTCACATAAATCGAAATCAAGTCTAATCCAACACAAAACTAAATGATATTTAATAATTAAAATTTAACCCTTAAGTTATCAGAAAGAAGGATATTCATCCTAATTAAAAATAAAATAAACTTAATGAAACATAAATTCTAATTATTTGCAATAAAAATGAATTAGATGTTTATTAAGCATCTTCATTTAGTCTAGTTCCTTACACAAAGACCCAACCTAACTTCAATAGACTCCCATCATTAATTATCTTATAAACCGTAGTTGCATTGATTTTTATCCCTGAAAATAATAGCATCCATTTTCTCCAAGAGAAATAGTTATTGAACAAAAGATAAACCGAAGAAAAACAAAAAGGCTTTTGATTGCATAAATCAACATTCAAGAAAAAATAAAAGATGCCATTACCAATCTTCGCAATAACACGCCAGTTGTACAAAAGAGAAGTCGGGTTTGTGCAGAACGCTTAGCTTCTAGGCGGATCTGGAAACCAACAGTTTCCCCAAGATTTTCTCCCCTTTCAGAAGCAACTCTCATTGCTACAGATATAGCAGATATACGACGTGGTTGAGTGCATATTATATTGCAGTCTGCACCATTAAGATTTGCTATTTCCTTCTCCAATATAAATTGTGGTAGCTGTGTGGTTTTGCCACAACCAGTCTCTCCAGAGACAACTAGAATCTGTATACCAGAAAGAAAATTAACAGGGACATCAAGTGTGAAATATGGAATCTCCTAGAGTATCCAAATCAATAGTGAATATAACAAAAACCGTTAAAATAATTTATTTCATCAATAAAAGAAGTTTAAAAACCATTAAAAAATAATTTGAAATGAAGAATTGAGATTCATTAAAGATAATAATCATCACATTAGCCTTATGCCATCTAATTTGGATCAGCTTCTAAATCACTGATTTCCATTCGTGCCTATAAAATGCTATATATGTCGTAAATTATGGTATATCTGTTGCATAACTTCTTGTCAAATTACCTTAAGTGCAATCGTTTTCCTTCCTATTCCTTTATTCAAAATAAGCTAGGAAGAAAGGAATGCATCAATATTAAACTAAATCATACCCAAAAGAAGCTGGATTAAAAGAGAATGTATAACAAACATGGCAAAGTATAGTCTTCTAAGGACAACTCAACAAAAGGGAGAGAATTGATGAATGCTAATAAGGGGAATAACCCTAACTAGACCATGAATAGAGAAAAATGAATTAGTAATTCTGAAAGAAAATTTCCTTGAAAACATTAAACCCACCGGAAATTATAGTAGGCTATCCAGATCATTCTGAACTGTAACTTAACTCCTTACACAGATATTTGGCATCAATTTTTAAAATTCAGCTGGATAAATGCCAAATTGGTAAAGGATCAATTTTCCGGCAACTTGAAAGCTACATGCAGGACAATGGCTTACTCTCAATAAAAAGGAATGAAATTGAAGCAGCATATTTAAAGCAAATGAAGCCACCAGCAATATAGTTAAAGAAATGAATTAACAATTAAGAAAGAGAATATTTCCTTGAAAAGAAAAAACAACCCAAGAAGAACCATACTAGGCTATATAGATCCTGATGAACTGAAACTTCATTTCTTATATAACAAACATCAAATTTATGGAATGGCGGCAGGGAAAACGTAAATGGGGAAAGGGATCAATTTTTCATATAGTCGGAAGCTTTGTTAAGGCAAGCAAAACATGGAACAAAGATAACCATTCAACTAGTGAAATGGGTCAGAAAGAAACAAAGGAAACGGGTGAGAAAACACTATGGAGATATGGACTAAAATCAATAGTTAAACTTACACCATTCCCTATTGCAGAAGAAAACACTTTCATTTCTAAAGAACAACTTCTAAGTTGCATAATTTTCAAAAATTAAGCCCGTTGTAAAGTTGATATCTTATATTTTGATTAAAGTTCATTGAATTTTTATCACATCCTATACTCAAGGTTGATAATAGGTACATGAGTAATCCAATCTCAAGACGATCCAACCTTGCCTGGCTCAAGATTGACTCAAAATAAATTGGTCAACTGTTGATTTGAATCAAACCCCAAGTTTGAAAATTAAGCTGAATAACCCTCTCTCCTCACAGTACAAAAATATGCCAAATATAATCCATAATGCTACATGCCCAAAAAAACTTTTTGTTGATGAATGAATATACATCTTCTATATTTCAATTAGTGCTTATGCATTGCATTATATATATATATATATATAACTTTATAAATATATATATAACTTTATAAATAAATATTAAATACATATATAAAGATTTAGCAATTAAAATTACAGATCGAATTAGCTCAAAATCAACTCTAAATCAATCATTTTCATCTTGACTCAAACTCGGCTTGAGCGGAAATCATAATCTTCAATTTTGGGTTAAGGTCGGCTCGACTATATGGCACCCCTGGACTTAGCTATCAGTCGGTTTAACTATTATTTAATTAAGTACCAAGACCACACCAAGATACATTATGAAATCAAGAAATAAGAAGGGTGACATGAATGAAAGAAGTTTGATACCACAAAAATAAATAAATAAATACCTGGTTGCATGACACAGATTTTAAAAAATCGTCTTTAAACTTGTATGCTGGCAGTTTTTCCCTAAAAGACTGCATAGCTTTTGCACTGCAAGTTGCCTGAAAAGAACGACCAATCATTGAATTTTGGTACAAAATCAACCTTAACATAGTAATAACGTAACCAAGAAGTCTTGGAGGATTACTTGTAAAACTTTCCCACATGTGATTAGAAATGACTAAGCATTTAGGACTAACAAAAGTTACCTTCTTAGAAATCTGTAGGTCTCTAAGTTCAACACTGAACTTCTCCTTGGCAGAATCAGGCTGTCTTTCTTTAATCAATTCAAATTTAGAAGCAACAGTATCGGATGAATATTCTTTTATTGACTCAGTGGATGAAATCCAAGAATCATGTTTTCTTGTTTGGCTGGAAGTACTGCAAGAATCACTTATGGTCCCTGCCTCTTTTGATTTTGCAAGGAGACTTTCAACTTTTCTCTCAGTTTCTACAGACATGACAATCTGCAGAGAGAATAATTTAAGAAAAAAAAAAGGTATAGAAAATTGCATGAGAACATAGAGCATACTGCCAGATGTCATCATCGCTACCTCTTTCTGCGTTGATCCATGCCGCTCATCTAGATCGGCCCGATAATCTGGTAACGGAACTTTGCTGAAAACTAGTGACTTCCCTTTGTTGTAAGCATGGCTTTGTTACCAATAAAAAGCAGAAAAATTTAAATAAACATCAAGCATCTTAAAAGAAAGTTTAGCAATTACGTGATAAAAGAAAGATTGAAGATGCATTGGGACTAAGCTGTCTATAGCTACTATAAAACACCATGAAAATGATAATGTCGACAGAAAATAAAGGAGAAGGAATGAAACAACCTAAAATAGATCTGCAAATTTGTATAAAGTATCAAGAACTGCAGTTATAGATTTAGATCAAATATGCAAACATAATATATTTTGGTGGTCCCCTGAAGGACGAAATAAACTGCCATATAAACTTACAAATAAAGGTCATGCCGATGAGCCATATCTTCAAGAGTAAGTTGTCCTTCACGCCCAAAATTACGGTTAACAATTAGCTCCTGCTGACAACCATCATTCAACTGCTGCAGTTTAGTCTGCCATTCATTTGGATCCAACTTTTCCACCTGAAAATAAAATAAAAAATAAAAAAAAAAATAAAACAATATTTACAAGTTCAAAGTTTATATATATCTGGATCACAGCGTCAAAAGCAGATTCTCTATGATTCCCTAAAGCAGCAAAAGAGTAAAAGATCATAGCAAAATAACAAAAAAAAATAGCAAGAAAAAAACACTTATCAGTACTCTGATCAGCAACTCAAGATACGTTAATAGTTTAGACCCAAGAAAGGTATGCTTTTTCAATATCAGGATTAAGGACATTATAAGTGCTACAATAGGAGGTTTGGGTTACTAGTAAAACGGTTATATGCTTCAACAACTTCCTATTGGAGAATTTCTCTTCTCTGTCCTTCCATATAAATAAAGGTGGAATAAACTACCATTTTAAGTTTGGCATGGAGAACCACTGTAAAAATAGTGCATTTATGACTCGCTTTCAATTTTAGCCTTTAAGAGAACATGTTTGTAGTAGAATCAAGATCACAATACCAAATTCCAGTTCTAAATATGATCGAGGACCTTCCACAATAAATAGTAAATAAAAAATCAGCTATATTTTGCAGATTAAGATGGTCCAAAACAGTATAAAAGAAGTCCAAAACAATATAAAAGATTATGTTGCATGAAGCTTGAGTACGAATCATCTTGCTAGTAACTAGGCCATGACCCAAAATAAATGCCAAATTGTCAAATTTAACTTAACTCAAACCCGAGTTAATGGTTCAGCCATGTTAACCTGCTTTCAAATTAACCTTCCGCTCATCTAGGTTCATGTTAAGTCATTAAACTGTATGCTATGTTACCTCACCAACATACAAAACAAAATTGCACAACTAATCAATACTTAACCTGCTTGACGACTAAACAGCTTTCCACTTAATCCAAATACAAGACTAATAATACTGAGCAGAAATACCTATGGGGTTAACCTTCATTTGAAGTAATATATGAAGCAGCACCACTACTTCAATTGAGCGTGAGAACTTAAGACACTACAGGAAATTTACTCATTACCGGCGGTTTTTGCCGGTGGTTCACTCATATTTCCGGCGGTTCTAAATAACACCGGCGGCTTTTCGGCGGTTGTCACACCGCCGGAAAAAACGGCGCCGGAAATCATTACCGGTGGCATTTTTCCGGCAGTTTATTTCACCGACGGCATTCCAGCGGCATACACCGCCGGTTATCGCCGGTGGTTTTACCGGCGGCTTCTCGGCCGTCTGACCGCTGGTACAAATATACCGGCGGTCATAGCCAAAGGAATTGCTGACGGTTGTAGCCGCCGGTGTGTCGCCGAACTACCGCCGGACTGCGTCGGTAAACCGCCTGTAAATACCAGCGGTTATAAGGAATTTCCGGCGGCGTCAATCAGCCGTACGGTATCGAAGTTTCCGGCGGCTAAACTGCCGGGTAGCTGCCGGAAACCTGTAGCACCTGAAAAAAAAAATTGACAGTCTCCCCTCTATTTGAGGGATTTTCACCCTAAACTCTAAACTTGCACAGAAAACAATAACCACAATTTTGGGCAACACGCCACTATAATCCATCACAGCAATTATCACAAATATTTTTTAGAACACGTGTGTCAACCTTAACAAGTGTACGTGCTATACTTTCGAACAAGTATATTTTACTTGAATTAAAATGCATTGTCTAACTCTACCTTTATTAACATAAGTTTAATCTAATACCTCAACTTTCCTTACCGGGTCATCAGAAGGCCTCCGTTTAATGTGAAAAAACCATGTAAAGCGACTCTCTCTAATCTTATCTTCCACTGGAGCTACTCCAACCTTATCACGTATATGCTCACTTCGTATCCTATCTCTAAGGGTTAAGCCACTCTTCCTTCTCTTTTATTGACCATGATTCGGCACCATAAAGCATTGCAGATCTCACCACCATCTTATAGAATTTTTACTAAAGTTTGAGGAGGATTATTCTATCACACAATAACAAGCCCGATTCATTCCTCCATTTCAACCATCCAACTTGAATTGTGCTGATAACATCCCCTTCTATTTCATCATCACTCTGAACAAAAGATCCAAGATATCTAAAGCATACACCAAGGTACATCTAAGGCGACACTCTCTAATCTCATCATCCACTGGAGGTACTCTAACATTTTCATGTATATGCTCATTCCATATTCTATCTCTAGGGGTAAAGCCCAAATTAAGTCACAAACCGCTCAATAGGTCTATTGCTACTAAAATTACACCCCATATATTCAGTTTTAGATCTACTCAAGCGAAAACATTTAGACTCTATAGTTGACCTCCATAATTCGAGTTTACCTTCAACTCCTTCTCTAGTCTAGTGAGAACAAAAAGCATACAAGTAAAATATCATCAACAAAAAGCATGCAACAAGGTACATTCTCTCGCAAATGTCTCTCTAGTGAGAACAAAAACATCCATGACAAAATACATAAAAAATAAAAATAAAAAAAGCTCACCTCAGAGGCGGCGTCGCACATGGGAAATAAAAGTTCATCGGCGGCCTTGCAGTGGGGAGTTCGAGAGCGGCCGGTGTGATCGTCGGCGGCCGAAGACAGCTCGGTCGCGCGAGAGGGCGGGCGGAGGAGAGGAGTGAGCGCAGCCGAAGAGAGAGGGCTGAGGAGATGAAATGAAATGGGAGACTCGGGCTGGTTAATTTTAGGGCTTTTACCGGCGGCTCAAACCGCCAGTAATTAAATTACTTAACACCAGCGGTTTTAGCCGCCAGTATACCACCGGTACCTTTTAAGGCCGGCGGTTTACCGCCGCTCTTTCCGGCAGCATAAGCTTGCATAACGGCCGGTTAGGCCGTCGGTATTAAACGGCGGCCGAACCGCCGAATAAACCGCCGTTAATAATGGCGGCTAGACAACCGCCGGTCCAGGCCACCGGTAATTGATGAATATCCTGTAGTGAGACTCCCATTCAAGACCAGTCCCTGGTTATCAATTAAACCAAATAGTAGTAAAGACTTGACAAGCATGCTGATCAATAAAACAATTATTGTATATTAAATCCTCCTATGTAATCCATACAATGAGCCAATATCTTGATTTATTGCACGTCAAATGGCAGGTTAAAGAAGAAAAATCCTTCAAAATTACAGCCTATCACCTCTTCCAAAGGATGCATTTAAGAAATATGAATCGAGGTGAGAACTTTAAGGGGCTGTTTGGTATCCTATTTTAAGCAATATTTAAGCACTATTTAGCTTAAATCCTATCAAACATATTTTTGGTAACTTTAGATTCTATTGTTTTAAAAAACACATTTCAGCTCGGTTCTCGATTAAACTTGGGATTTGTCAAATCCCATCATTCAAAAGATTTAATAAACTTAAGAATTTCTTACTCTTACGAATCTTAAACCCTAAAACAACTAGCCGCACAGCCTATCAAGATTTAATAATTTGAAATGTCAATTTTCGGTTTTAAATCCTCTCGATGATTTACCGAATATAGATTCACAGGATTTGCTAAATGCAACTGAGTTAAATCCTACATGTAGCCAAACAGTACCTTAAGATTCCCATTCCAATTCAACCAACTTGTAATAAGCCTAGACAAGCACGATGATCAGCAAACAAAATATTTTTTGCAAAATAAAGGCCCCCATGTCATCAGAAAATTAGCCACATTCAATCTATCAAAATATGTTACGAATACAAATTACATGTCAAATAACATAAACCCTAAGAAAGGTGCAATCTTCGAGTGAAACCCAAGCCGAGAAAAAAAAATCGAGGCGAAAAAGTAGGTAAACACCGGCCCAGCCATTTGGCGGAGACGCTCGGCTCTCCATTGAGGGTCCCACCACCGCTGCTCTCCTCGACCGCCGCCACTGCCACCTCTCCGGCCGCTGCCTCTCCCGCCGCCTCCCCTTCCTCGTCCTCCGCCGCCACCGCCGCCACCGCCGCCGCGCCGGAAGCCCTGGAAGTTTGGGCGGTACGACATGAATACGTGAGAGCGGGGAGCTTCAATCGCTGAGAAATGGCGATGGTAATTGAAAGACTTGATGGAGCACGAGAAGAAGGAGCGCGCAGTCATAAGCCAAACCGTAATACAGTGGTTAGTGTCGGACTTCGGAGTATTGCCAAACTCCACGATATTGGCGACGCTTTGGCTACATGATTTTTTTTTTTTTTTATTTAATTTATTATGTCGATGAAATTCTCATTTTTTTTAAATTAAATATTTTCTAATAAAATCTTTTAAATCTATCTCTATGTTTTTTTAAAACATTTATAGGATCTAATATATCTACTCTCTAGAATCATCAGAAGGCCAACATTAGATTTGACCAAACCGTCTGAGGCAATTGTTTCTAATATTAATCTCCAGTAGAGCTACTCCAATAATTTTACATATATATTATTTTCACATTCTATTTCTAAAAGTAAAGTCCTCATCCAGCTGAGCATCTTCATCTATGTAATATTATACTTAATTTTCTATTTCTTTTTTAAAGATCAACATTCTGCATCACAATATTATAGGTCACACCATCACCAAAGGACCTACCTTAGTTGGTATATGACTAAACAATATTGGAACATGTTTTCACATTATGTTTGATAATGATTCAATTATGAATCTAAGATTACTTAAATTATGATCAAATTCTAAGATGGTTCAATCATAATTTGAATATTTTTCGAACATGGTTCAATCATTATTTGATCACCGTTCAAAGATTATTTAAAATATGATCTAAGATGGTTCGAAGATGATTCAATCTTGGTTTGAAGATTGTTCGATCGTAGTTCAAATATAATTCAATCATATTTCAAATAATGTTTAATTATGATTTGAGCATGGTACTTGATGGGGGCTAGGGGTGAGCTAATATGCGACTCGATGAGTTTGAAATATGTTTAGATTTTTTTATAAAAATTTAGTAAAAAATCAACTAAATTACATAAGTATACGTGTCGAATCAAGTAATAAAGTAAAAGAGTAGAGTGTCGAACCCACAAGAAAGTGTTCTGCTTAATTAAAAGAATATTTGTATATAGATTGAGTTGTACAGTGTCCAGAGTTGTAAAGAATCATATATGCATGCTTACATATATACAAGTGGGGCTCCAAAAGATGATATCCCTACCTTTGGGGGATAATCTCTTTTGGAATTCTATAGAAGACTTGGAGCTCGAAGACATTCAATAGGTATATCTGATTATATATATGATAGGCTTAGAACACAGATTTGTTGTGGTGGAGCTTGACCACCTTTCTTTTCTTCAGAGTCAAAATCTATTGTAAATATTCAAAGTGAATTAATAAAAAAATTTATACACACTGCTTTCCCTTTTATTTACATTGCATACATGCACTGCATCATATGGGTGTTAGATTGATTTAATGGGTAGAATTTTTCTAAGTTGTTCTCGGTGTATGAGTTCTGGAGTTTGTAGGAACACATATAATGGATCTTGGTTGATACATTATTGGGTACTATATACACGAATATCTTTACCCTGACATGCATGCATATATAGATTTTATTTTCTACAACGTATACTAGCCCAGCATACAAGCCCACGACAAGGTAGTGGGGTCCTCTTACGCCCGGATGATGCTATGCTATTCTAGTTGAGATAAGGCTATTATGCAACCAAAATTTCTTTGAAATTTTGGCGGTTAGAAAATTTTGTTGGATTAATTAAATAAGATAAAATTTAGAGTTCTTAGTGAGTCTTCTCAATAGTGTCACTTGAACTTAAAGTGAAAATTCATCTTGAGTCACTAATTTGGAGTCTAATTTACTACTTCGAACTCTTATGATATAGCTATTTTTATCCTACATTTCATCTAGGATGATTGCTTGTGAAATAGGATGTTAGCTGGCTACTCATTGCAAGAAGGCATAAACCTCATTGTATCTGCACATCTCTTATTCCTAATAAATAATAAATATGTATATATATGTTAAATACAAATATATTTTTATAAAATATAATAATATTTTCAAAGGGACAATTGATATTTTCTAATATCAAATGCAAATTTCCTATATACATAATTTTATTATAAATTTAGAATCTAATCTCCACTTTCATTGAAAATTTTCTCTATAGGAACCCAAGATCCTAATTTAAAATTAACCCTCTCTTAGTTCACTAAGAGAAGGAAAAAATCTATGGATGTTTACTAATGCTTATCCTAAGTCAAATTCATATTTGAAATGATAGGTGAATGTAGATTTTATCCTTGGGAATAATTGTTACATCCCCTATGTTGAGTTTAAATACAAAAAAAAAAATCTCAAATCAATAAAGCGGTGTTAGTTTATTCTTCCAAATAATTAACACTAATCATGTAAATTTGATTAAAAATTTATTTTAAAGCAAATTGAGTGGTCATCATTACACATACATAACAAATAATTTTGTCCACAAGTGGTTCCACAAAAAGAAGCGTACGCATCAAACTCAAAATTTTTAATCTTATAAAGGTGGTTTATAGCAATAAAATCAAAAGGGACCCATTTATTCCTCATATAACATTTTTTTCTACTACCTATTTTCCATTAGCAAAAAAATTACTAACAACATTTACAATTGCTGCAAAGGGATCCTCATAGAAATGATCTCAACCCCTACTAACAATGATATGTATGATATGGATACTAGGATTTTAGAAACCTCGCTCAGGAATCAGTTGCTTGCTAACTAATAAATCCATAAACCTTTACACCACATCAGCAGAAATGAACTTACTCTTATCACAAAAAAAGGAACATCTATTTTTTCTAAACATCTTTGGATCCATTGCACGCAAGTAAGAAAAAATACAGAGTTTGAGATTAAATAGAGGAATGAAAATGCAATTGAACAAATAGAACAAACAAAATCCTATTTATTAACACTGCGAGCATTACGACATTGAAGAAGCCGGCATTGTGGTGCTAGTAGATAAAAAATGACAATATTCAAATCAATAAATGTTGAGACGGTGCAAGACATGTGGCGCTACGGTGCTTCGTTCATGAAATCAAAGTGTTGCTTTTTGATCCAGCACCCACTATGGTGTTTGACACCTACGAACACTACGATACTGATAAAGACCACCACCGTGGCACTATAATTGAATTCATACTGATTTTGACATTACACCGTGGTGTTGGAGACATTATTATGGCGCTTGCCAAATCTTAATAACAAAAAATGTTATGATATGTGTGGTTAATTGATTGAACTGTCACAATAATTGTTGGAATAACTGATTTAACACTATGACATTGTTGGAGAATTTTTGTAGTCCTCAAACTGATTGCATAATTTATGATCAAGTATGTCATAAGAATGATGATATTTACCTTTGAGGGTAAAAATATTATTTCTTTATGGACTCAATGATAAAATTTACAATTTTAAACAGAGATTCCCCCATCAATGTTTGGTCGAATGGGGTTTCATTTATTTATGGGGTACATATCTCCTATAGGGGAAAACCCCTATGGTTAATTATACCTCAAGCTTTGATGCTTAAGAATACTTTTGATTAAACTAGGGGTTTCCTTTTCTTTTGAAAGTCATTTTAGACATTGGTTAATTTTTTTTTAAGAATCCATGAAAGTCTTACTTAAAGGTCTTGGCCTTTATGAGATTCAAGGAAAAATGGATCAACTTAGAATCAGATTTTTGGAATCAAAGCCAAAAAAGGTGAAGTAGGAGCACTTGATTCTGAGAAATCTCAGAGATGCTCGTACTACCTTATTTTGGGCTTTACATTTTTGAACTTTAATTTTTTTTAAGTTAATCATTTTAATTAGAAGGTCGGGGCTTATATTCAACAATACATGTTGGAGGAATTGTACGAAAGATGATGGCTTATATGATGATTGGAATCAATTATTTGCCTCGGATCCTAAAACTAAGGTGAAGACTACTAATCAGCAGTACCTCGAACCTAAGTCTAACAAAATGCAAAAGGAACTTATAAGCTACACCTCATATGAGGCATAGCTAGCCCGACCTCTGAATTTATTGTTCTGTCTAGAAAGGACTACCAACTAGACCCTCCTAATCATTTTTAAAATCATATATTTCAGTTTTAATGTATTTAAAGAGTGTGAAGGCTATTTTTTTTAAGAAGAGGGGCTTATAACTTAATTTTGAGTCCAAGATGCCTAGTTATATAAGGTATGCATAATGCATGCTCAATTTAAGTTTTTGAAAACTTGGCTCCTTGAAAAGGAGCCATGTAAGTTTCTTTTGTTAGAAAATCGTGGAGCCTAAATTGATTTTAAGTTGTTTACATTTTAAATGATAGAAATCTTATTTTGTTCTAAGAGCCTACCCCTTCAAAGTCCAAGTCACTCCCAAATAAAATAATAGAAGAAACCTAGGAAAAATATGTTGTTCTATTGCGCACTCAGTAAACAAACAACACATGCATGTAAATCAACCAAAATAAAAATGCAAGTAATGTCTTAATTATTACAAATAGTTTTGGCAGTTGAGTTTTCTTCCATTATACAACCCAGTTAATATTAAAAACTCTACTTGTGGGGGTCTTCAAACTTTAACTTTCAAATGGATCTTTAGGCTTCACCTCAAAAGGGGGTACATCTTTTCTCAATCCACCTTCCCTTCTAGTCCAAACCCCAAAAGTTTTACATCTTAGATCTAATCAAATACATGGCAGAAAATGTAAAAGACTCAAATATACAAAATAGAGACGGAAGGCAGTTTATATAATATATCATATCCATAAATTTTTTTTCAGCATTTCAAGTGTCAAACATCTGCTTCTACCCTATTGGTCATTCCTCTTGGGAGGTTTTAAGCAGTGCCTACAAGAAAATAGTATTAGAATAATCATGATTTATTTTACCCCCTCTTGGACAAGGCCACCTGCAAGAAGAACATGTATATTTCTACACTAACCACTTAAGAACAAGTGCCCACAATGCATACAATCTAAAAGGACATTCACAACAAATCATCAATCACATGCGCACAAAAAGAAAAATCCTAATCCTAGCATTCCTAAGGGATTGTGCACCTAAGTTTGTGAGGCTTGTGTGGTATGGCACACTAAGGGTGTTTCACTTAAAGTTTGGATCTAAGAAAAAGGTGTTTAACATATAACTTTTGAGCCAATTATC